CCCGGTCCTCCTTTACAGAGACACCCACAACTGCTTCCCTTCAGAAACACACCCGGAACTCCTTCACAGACACCCTGAACTCCTTCACAAGGGCACCCGAAACTCCTTCACAGACACCCGAAATTCTTTCACAGGGGGACCAGAAACTCCTTCACAGGGGCACCCGGTCCTCCTTTACAGAGACACCCAAAACTGCTTCCCTTCAGAAACACACCCGGAACTCCTTCACAGACCCCCAGAACTCCCTCAGGGGGACACCCGGTACACTATTACAGAGACACTCGTAAATCCATCACAGACACACCCGGAACTCCTGCACATGGGAACAAGAAACTCCTTCACAGGGACACCCGGTACTACAAAGGGGCACCCGGTCCTCCTTTACACAGACACCCACAACTGCTTCCCTTCACAAATAAACCCGGAACTCCTTCATAGACTCCCGGAACGCCTTAACAGGGGCACCCGGACCTACTCACAGGGACACCAGGACACCCGGATCTCCTTCACAGGGGCACCCAGAACTCCTTCTCAGGACCACCTGACACTCCTTCACAGACACCCGGAACTCCTTCACTGGGGCACCGGACACTCCTTCACAGAGGCACCCGAAACACTTCACAGAGGCACTCGGAACTCCTTCACAGACGCCCAGAACTCCCTCAGAGGGACACCTGGTACACTATTACAGAGACACCCGGAAATCCTTCACAGACGCACCCGGAACTCCTTCACAGGAACACCTGACACTCCTTCACAGACACCCGGAACTCCTTCACAGGAGCACTGGACACTCCTGCACAGAGGCACCCGGAAATCCTTCACAGACGCACCCGGAACTCCTTCAAAGGAGTACCTGACATTCCTTCACAGAAACCCAGAATTCCTTCACAGAGGCACCTGGAACTCCTTTACAGGGGCACCCGGAACTCCTGCACATGGGAACAAGAAACCCCTTCACAGGGGCACCCGGTCCTCCTTTACAGAGACACCCACAACTGCTTCCCTTCACAAACACACCCGGAACTCCTTCACAGACCCCCAGAACTCCCTCAGAGGGACACCCGGTACACTATTACAGAGACACCCGGAAATCCTTCACAGACGCACCCGGAACTCCTTCACAGGGGCACCCGGACTCCTGCACATGGGAACAAAAACTCCTTCACAGGGGCACCCGGTCCTCCTTTACAGAGACACCCACAACGAGTTCCCTTCACAAACACACCCGGATCTCCTTCAAAGGGACTCCCGGAACTCCTTCACAGGGGCACCTGGAACTCCCTCACAGGGACACTCGGTACTTTGTTACAGAGACACCCGGAACTCCCTCACAGGGACACTCGGTACTATGTTACAGGGACACCCGGAACTCCCTCACAGGGACACTCGGTACTATGTTACAGGGACACCCGGAACTCCCTCACAGGGACACTCGGTACTTTGTTACAGAGACACCCGGAACTCCTGCACAGGGGCACCTGGAACTCCTGCACAGTGATCCCCGGATCTCCTTCACAGGGGCACCCGGAACTTTTTCACAGGGACACGGGGACCGGTGTTGGAGCACAAACGAAGCACTGAGGTCTGGTTGGTGACATACCATTAGCCATCACAGTGGATACCCGTGTGTTCCTCGTATAAGTGCGTCCACCTTTCTGTATGAAAATGTTCATTACAGAAACCCACCCACCCAAGGACATTTGCTCACCAGAAGTCACTGTTGAGAAAGTGAACGGCAGCCACAAATTTGGAGGCGACATTCACCACGGATAAGCCTCAGGTGCCCTCTCCAGCGGTACACGCATGCCTCCGTGTATGGCGAAGGGCTACCCCAGCAGAAACCCGGGTGAAAGAGCAACACACTGCAGAGCAGGAAGCAGAAGTGTCCCACAGAAACCCCGTTAGCCAGCAGGGAGGCCGCAGCAGCGCTGCCGAGTGACACAACGTGGCACTTCCCCACCGACCAGGCTTGGGTCTGCGGCTGGCCGCACGCCTCGCGCTTGGGCCTGTACCCTCGGAACCGCGCTCCGGAGCCATCTGGGGACAGCCAGGGAGGGCGGCCTGCACCCGCTGACCCGCCACCCCTCCTCTGCTTGGCCCCAATCCCTTTTCAGCCTGGGAGCCGCGCCCCCTGCGGGCAGGAACCTGGAAGTCAGGTGGTGACCTGAGCCCAGCCTTTGGATCACAGGGGCAGGTGTTCGCAGAGAAGCAGCTGTCAGCCGTGCGGCCCGTTCGTTTTTGCTTCGCTCAGGTCTTTCCCAGCGTGAGAAACCACAGGGCCGGCTCAGCTACGAGGCGAGAACACGCCGGCTCTGGGCCCCCTTGGGTCCCTAGGGGCCTGACCGCCTGCCCCCAGCCCCGCTCCTGGTGCGGATGAACCTGGGGACCAGGAAGTGTCAGGCTGCCTTGGTCAAAAGCAGGCGTGGCGGAGTGAGACGTGAACTCGGCCAGCCCCGCTGGGCACCGCGGACGTGGGCGTGCTCCTCACTGGCCAAGGACACAGGCCTGCTCTCCTGTGCACCAGGCTTTGGAGGAAGCGCAGGCAGCTCGGCGGAGTCGGCTGCTCTGCTTCGACCGCCCTCCGGGCCAGGCGTGCGGCTCCGGGCCAGACGCAGGCCGGCCCTCTGCAGGCAGCCCACGCGCTCCGGCCGGCGTGGTCCTAGCGGTGCCGGTGGGGCCCACGGGAAGCCGTGAGGGGGCTCTCAGCGCCAGTCCTGCGTGTGAGGCCACATCAGGACCGCTCCTGCCTTCCAGACTCAGCATTTGGCTTCTCCCTGGGCCCAGGTGGGCACTGATTCCTGTGATGGGGCATCGGGTGGCCTGAATGAAGTGGGTGTTGTCTGTCTGCGGCATCCCGTTGCCAGCTAGGCCCAGCGCCCTCCATCACAGGGACCCTGTGATGTTGGGTCCCTGGACTCTCGGAAGCACGAGGCAGACAGCGGCCTCTCCCCCGACCAGCCCTGTGCTGCCCGGTGACCTGCGCAAAGCCGATGTGAGGTTGGCGGGGAGCCGCCCATGAGCCCAGCTGCCCAGGCTCACCTGGAACTCTGCCTCTGATGCCCAGCTCGTCCCAGCACCTCCGGCTCTGCCTGCATTTGGCATCTCCCTTCACGGGAGACAGGCTGCCACCTGGCAGCAGGGACACTGGCTTTGGACCCTGCGTTAGTATCCGTCAGGGGTGTCCAGTAGGGTATCTGTCTACCTGTCTACCTACCTGCGTATCTAAGGGGGTTCGTTATAGGAATCGGCTCATGTGACTGTGGACCCCTGGAGGCCCAGCACCGCCTGGAAGCCAGAGACGCGGGGAGCAGGTGGGGTAGTCCAGTTCCTGTCCGGGGGCCCCAGAGCCAGGGAGTCGACAGTCTGAGTCCCAGGCGGAAGGCGGGAGAAAATGACACGGGCCAGCTCAGCTGCCAGGCAGGGAAAACGGGAGAATTCTTTCCTCTGCCTTTGGTTCCGCTCAGGCCTTGGTGGGCTGGACGAGCCCCTGGCCTCCACATGGGAGGGCCCCCTGCTTCACCGAGCCCACCCACTCAAATGCTCGTCTCACCTGGGGACACCCCTAGACATGTCCCGTCTGGGCACCAACCCTCACAGGTTCTTTCCTGCCTGGAGAGGGTGGTGAGCTCCCCGGAGCACTTGGCCCTTGTTTGGGTTTAGGTTTGCTCGCTGCCTGAGCTGTTTCTAGAATAGCGACCAGTCCCTGGGCCAAGCTTTGTCTACTGTCCTCCGTCTCCATTGTTTCTGGCCAAGAAGCTGCTGTGCAGCCACGGGAAAGAGACAGCAGGGAGATGCGGTGGGCCCTCGAGGGTCCCCACTCACCCCTGCGGGACGGTGCTGGTCTTCTTGGACTGCATTTGGGATCACGGCTGGGGACCGCGCCGTGACACTGTCGTGTGTCCTGCAGGATATGGCCCCGGTAGCTAGTCGATGGTGCCGATTCCCCCAAGTCAGAAGGCACAGAAGGGAGGGGCCACACTTGTGATCAGAGCTAATGAGCTACAGTGATACCTCGGTTCTCGAACATAATTCGTTCCAGGAGGACGGTCGAGAACCAAATTGTTCGAGAACCGAAGCAATGAAACCCAATAAGAAATAATGGAAACTGGATTAATTCGTTCCAAGCCCCAGAAAATGCCTATTTACTGGCCTAATTTGTATATAATATGTAGAAAAACATAAGTCTCAACAAGAAATAAAAGTGTCCAGTATGTCTAAGGGTTCAATTCAGTGTAAAGCGTGACTCTCTCCACAAAGCGTGACTCTCTCTCTGCACTCACACTGAGGACGCGAGCAAGGCGCGCTGGGCCGAATGAACGCCATTCGGCTCAACTCGGCTCATCTCGGAAATTCGAGTTCCAAATATTTGTTCAGATTCCAAGACAAAAGTTTCTCGAATCTCCTGGTCGAATACCGATTTGGTCGAAATTCGAGGCGTTCGAGAACCGAGGTATCACTGTATTCCCCTGAGTCTGCCTCTGGCCGTGTTGGTCCTTACTGTCCTGGTTGGGAGATTTTAGTCATCCGCAAAGGAATGCTTTGACCAGAGAACAAAGTAAGGGTGTCCTTGAGTTGGAAGTGTGGGTGTTTCCGGTACCACTGGGTTGAGAAACTATAACAGGGTCATGGTGATGGCTAGGGTGGTCCCCTCAAGAGAAAATGGGGTGTTACTACTCAGTGTGAGTGGAATTAGGGGTCCTGGGGTCATTCTTCATCCTGCCACACCTTGTCATGAAGGTTGGAAGCCCGGGGCCACAGGGACGAAGGTCTTCCTTGCTCAGCTCCTTCTGAACTGGAGTGGGGCCGCCTCACCAGCAGAAGGACTCAGGCCAGCGTGGAGAACATGGCCCAGGCCGTGGGGGAGGCGGGCTGAGCCGTGGCCTCGGGCCCGCACCTGGAGGGGCAATCTGTAGCTTCCAGCAAGACGCCACCCCCCCGCTGTGTCATATACATCATTTCAGAACCTACCTAAATTTGCTTTCCTCTCCTCTCTTCGCACCCACTACATGGGACATACCACTGGTGCTTTCCTTACATTTATTCCACACGTTGTAGGATAACAGGTGCACCGGACTGTCACCCAGCGCAGGGACCATGAGACGCTGGTGTCCTCCTGGGGGAACCAGGACCTCCGCTGGAGGATTGCTCTTTGCTGTGTTCGGGGGAGCATCCTTGTTTGTGGCAGTGCACGTGTAGGACGGACGAGACTGACAAGGAGTGGACTGTGGTGGGTGCCTGTCATAGAATGCAGGGTCTTGGTGGCCCAGGCCGGATGCCGTCTGTGGAGTGACGAGGGCCCCGCCGCCCCCTGTCCTCCATCAGCTCGGGCCTTGGCTGAGGCTGGGGCAAAGTGGTGTTTGACTCAGGGCTGTGGATCTTCAGCAAAGGATGCAAACCCTTGCAGACAATTAGGACTCATCCGCCAGGTGGTTTGGATGTCCAAAGGGACCAGGTGTGGCAGGCAGAATTTCTCAAAGACTGCCCCCCACGTGTCTGCCCATGCACAGGGCATCGCTGAGGTGTGATGAGGCTTCTCCTCAAGGCAGGGAAGTCCCCGGGCAGCTGAGGGCACAGCACGCCCTCCAGCCGTGGGAGAAAGGAAATGAGAGAAATCTCAGCACCAGACTGCACACCACGGCTGCCTCAGAGGTGCAGGGCCACCTGGCGGGACCCGTGGTCTCGGAGCAGAGGATGGCCCGCGGTACCAGCGGGAGGAGCAGGCCCCAGTTCTGCAGCCTGAGTGGCCCCCTGTCTGACCTGTGACCCCCAGAGGAGCCCGTCAGCCCTGGCTCCCCAGTCCAGACTCAATGCCCAGCCTGTTCCACGGTGTCTGTGTGTGACCCTGACCACGGCTGCTTCTCTGGCTAGGCCTCCCCCTCGCCGCCCCGCGCAGTGCGGAGGGCACAGCTCACGTCTCCGCGCGAGGGGTGCGGGCCCAGGCCGGTGTCTCGTCTCCGGGGCAGGCCGGCGGCAGGAACAGAGATCCTCGAGCCGCCGAGGGCCACCTGAGAGTCCCCCTGGGCCCAGAAGGTCATCTCGGTGAAGAAGGGCGGGGCTCCCCCGGGAGGGTCTGAAGAAGCTGGGCTCCTGGGGCTGGCAGCCATGGGCTCTGAGAAGCAGAGAGACTAGGAGTCTGTTCTAGAATGCGGAGGGGCAGGCGAGGTGCCCGGGCAGGGAAGGGACCCAGCTGGCCAGGAGGAGAGGTGGGGGGGTGAGGGGAGGAAATGGCAGGAATAGCTGGGAACACTGGCAGGGGCGGGGCTGCGGGGCTGCTGGGCGGGTCCTCCCTGCTCCCTGTGCGTGGGAGCCCGGGCTTCCCCATGACCACAGGCCCTGGCCTGGGCTGTAGTTCGGGGCCCCAGGAGCACCCACCTCTCGGGGCTGGTGGACATGGCGCTTGTGAGCTCAGGTCTAGGTGGGGCGGGGGGCCAGCAAGGGGTCCCTGCGCCTCCTGGCTGCCCCTCCCTGGGGTCTCCTAGAGCATCAGCCTGCCCTTGTTGGGGGGGTCCCAGGCTGGGGGAGGGGAGGGCGGGGCCTACCGGGGGCTCAGGGCATATGTCCCTCTGCGGTCCAAGCTGCGCCCAGAGTGGATGGCGAACCGGAGGAAGGAGCTGAGCAGCATCGCGTACACCTGGGGGGCGGGGCACCTGCACCAGCTGCTCCGAATGGGCCCCCCCACCCCAGGAAGCGACCCTTCTGCAGGGTTCCCAGCTGTCTAAGGAAGGGAGAGGCCGCTCCACCCCCAGGCTGCCTCCCCGGGGTCAGCCCTGCCCTACCAGCTGGGGTGGTGGAAGGCCAGTGGGGGAGGGCGAGAGTACCATGGAGACAAGGCCAACGCTGGTCAGGGTGGAGGCGATGTGCCCGTGTGTCCTCAGGAAGCCCCTGATGCCCTGCAGGCAGTCCTGAGCAGAGGGCAGCATTATGCCTCCCCCCACCCCAGCCCACTCCTCCTGCCTGGGCATGGGCTGCAGTGCCCACTGAGGCCAGAGGCGAGGCGCTGGGCAGTCGGGGTGCGGCACATCCCAGAGCAGCCACCCCCACACTCCGGGAAAGGCACCGTGGGACCAGGGCCAGTGCACCTTCCTCTGTCCTCCCTGAGCTCCTGTGTCGGGTCACGGTCTGGCCACCCCAGGCAGGGAGTCACTCCGGGTCCCCAGCACCTGCCCAGGGCCAGGCCCAGCGCCTGGGCGAGGAGAGGGTGTTGCCTAACAGACGGCAGAGAGACAGCCCGGGGAGGGGCATGGGGGTCCCGGGCTGTCCCAGGCGCCTGACTCCATGCCAGGTGTCCGGTGTCCCCCCGGGGCTTGGCAGCCACAGAGGCCTTCTCTCTAGGAAAAGGGGGTGGTGCCCATCTCTGAACCATTGGGAGCATTCTGTTGGCATTTTGGGGGCAGGCTGGGAGGCAGGGCAGGGGGACAGGTGGGGTGTGGCCCTGAAGGCAGGGATGAGGAGTGAGGGGAGGCGGGTTTGGTGGCTGTTTGTCTGTCTGTCCTCATGGTCACTCCATAGGGCCTCCTGCTGTGTTGGCCACTAGCTGGGCCAGAGCCCAGCCCTGCTCACACTTGGGGGCGGGGGAGACTTCGGCTGCCCTGGAGGTGGAGGTCGGACTCACTCAGGTTTGTCCCCAGCTAGGAAACAGCCCCAGGATCCCTGGGCACAGCTTTGAGCCTGGCTGGGGTGCCCCTCCAGAAAACGGACCCTAAGCAGCCCCATCTCTCCATGTGGTCCCACCTCCTCTCGGAAGGCAGCCCTGGGCAGACCACTGTCCTGGACATCATACCTGCCTGCCCCCTCACACCCCTGCCAGGGCGGCTCTGCAGACGGGGCGGGGCCCAGTGCCTATGCCCACCCTCCACTGCTGGCCCCATGTGCCCACACGGGACTGGAGTGGGGCCCCACCGCCTGGAAGGTGCAGGAAGAAGTCCGGCCCTCACCCCCGCTGTGCAGATGGGGACCTGAGGCCTCCCCTGGGTGGCATGAACCAGCCTCCCCCCCAGCACGCTGGGCCCTCCCTTGCTCTTGCCCCTCCCCAGCAGGCAGCCCCTCTGGGGTGAAGGTGCTGTGCAGGGTGCTCCCCTCCCTGGGCCCCCTGCCATTTGCATCCTCCTGTTTCTTGGAGGGTGGCCAGGAGCCCAGGAGATAGGGTTTGTTTCCCGGACAGTGGGGGAGGGGAGCTGGGGAGGCCTGGCTGGGCGGGGCAGCGGGAGGGAGAGGTGCCAAGTTTCTCTCTGGGCCTTCGGGAAGAAGGGGCTTCCTGCCTCTGGTCTCATTGTCCCTGAGCCTCTGCGGCAGGCGGCCAGAGTGGCACAGGCTGGCCCTCCAGCGGGCGTGCTTCCTCTATGGGGTGCCCTCCGGCTCCTTCAGGGGCCCTCAGGACTGCTGCCTCCCCCGGGCAGAGCTGACCGCCTCTGCTCTGGGCCCTCAGCCCTGATCGCCCCCGCCCCCCTGCTCCTAGAGGCTTCGCGGGCAGCGTCTCAGCGCCTGCGCCTGGCCTTGGGGAGCCTGCAGGCTGGGAACGGAGGGGATGGAGGTCCAGCCCGGAGGAGGAGCTGGCCGCCCAGCCAGCCCGCCTCCCTGCTGCTGCCCATCATGGCGGCCTTCCCCAGCCCTGCAGTGGCCGATGCCCTGGTCCGAGCCCCCGGCCCTCCCCTCACCTGTGTGCCAGCCTCCTCTCCCGGACACAGGTCAGCCTCCGCCAGGCCCGGGAGGCTGGGAGGAGAGCTCTTCCCGCAACACAGGAACTGCGAGAACAGACAGAGGGGGCGTTTGGCTCTCGGAATCCCACGGTTGCCCGGCCGCTGTGGCTCCGTGGTTGAGCGTCGACCCTGCACCGAGAGGTTCGATTCCCGGGCAGGGCACATGCCCAGGTGGTGCGCCCAGTCCCCAGTGGGGGGCATGCAGGAGGCGGCCAATCGATGTTCTCTCTCATTGATGTTTCTAACTCTCTCTCTAAAGTCAATAAAGAACAAAAAAAGGAATCTCATGGTACCTGTGTGACAGATGGAGAAACTGAGGCACAAAGAGACCACATGACTAGGCGGGGTCCAGCAAAGCTGGGGGCCCCTGAGAGACCAGGACTGGGGCTCAGGGTGATGGGACTGCTTCTGTAGGGGGCCCCTGAGCCACCTGCCTGCGGGCGGGTCACACACCTGCCAGGGTCAGGGCCGGCCCCGTGGGCCCCGCACCCACAGGGCCCAGCTCAGTGCTGTGCCATCAGTCGCTGGCAACTTTTCACGTTTGGACAGTGGGCCCTTTCCTTCGGCCGCGGCCCTGTTCAGGGCAGAAGACGAGAACTGAGCTCTTGTCCCTGGGACATCGGTGTCCTGTGTCCTGGGAGCCCCTGCTCAGCACCTGGCCCAGCCTGGCTGGCTGGGAGCCACCCTGAGCCCATTTTCTGTGTCGCAGTCCACCTGGGGAGGCTGACCAGCCCCGGGCTGCCCCACGAGGAGGCCCCCGCGCTCACCGTGTCCTGGATGGCCACCAGCTCCTGCCACCGGGCGCCGGACGAGCTCCTCAGCGCCTGCTCGTACACCAGGTCGAAGGTGTCCAACAGGGCATCCTCCATCTGCACCAAGGGGTTTCCGTGAAGCCCCCGCAGCGGGCCGGCCCAGGCTGCTGAGGGACGTCCGGAGGCCCCTCCCCCTTCCACCAGGCGGAGCTCCTGGGGGACAGGCCCGGTTCTCCTGGGTGGCCAGCACAGCGGTTCCCCAGACTTCAATTGTGGGGGCCTCCCCCACCCCAAGAATGGCTGTCAATGCCACTCCTGCGACCCAGGGGTCCTGCAGGGTGAGCCAGAGACCCCAGCTCTGGTCTTGCGCAGTGTGGAGGGTGGCGGAGAAGGGTCCCCTGCTTCTCTGGACCCGGGCCGTGGGGCCGGCAAACTGGGCCTGCGTGGAGACGGCCCGGAGGCTGTATCAGGAGCTCAGCTCCCGAGTGATGCTCTGGGTGTTTCCCCAGAACCGCCCGGGGGTTCCCAGAAAGCCCAGCAGCTGGGCTCTTGGCGAGGTCTTTGGCCAGGGAAGCCGTGGACACCTGGGGCCAGCTCCAGGCCAACAAGTTCCCTTGGGCAGATGACGGAAGAGAGGGTGTGGAGCACCGGCTGGCTGAGCTCTGCCCTCACCCACACCCGATAGCACGCAGGCCTCACCGCCTCTGCCCACCTAAGCAGCAACTTCTGTACCTTTCCTCCTGCTGCCCCCAAGACGGAATGCCCTCCCCTTACCAACGTGTTCCTTCAAAGACAAACGGAAATCTCGCCTCCTCCGGGAAGACTTCCAAGATTGCTCTGGGGGGGCTGGTCTCCTGGCACAGGCAAGACCTCTTTGAACTCCCCTGCCCTCTGATGCTCCCTTTCCCAACTCAGACACTCTGAGCCCTCCAGCACCTCTGCTCACACCCCCACGCCACGCTGACGAGTGCTCGGGGGAGCCCCAAAGAGCTGAGGGTGAACGGAGGGCCCATGCCTGCTCTGGCCACTAACATTTGCGCTTTTAAAAAGAAGGGCAGCCGCCCGCCTGCACCCTGGAGGACCCGAGGGCAGCTGGCAGGCGGGCGGTGGGGGCTGTCCAGCCTTTCCCGAAGGCCCTGGGCCCCATAGGAACCACATGGGCCTCCTCCCCGGATGCGCGTCCAGGGGTAAATTAATCCTCCCTGTTGAGACATCTCTGCCTGGCATCCCAGACTCGGCCAGCTGTGTCCTTCCCACCCCCCCACCCGTAGGGAGCAGGGCAGCGCCCCGGGCTGGACGGCCCGCCTGGGGGCCCTGTGTCCTCCCATGAAGTGGGGTGGAAACCTGCCAGGCCACTGTGTTCTCGGAAGGAGGTCCAGCTTGGACAGCCCCTCCTGGTATCACTCCCCACCCCCAACTCCTCAGCTCTCCCCGCTAGGGCCCGATGCCTCCAGGGCGAGCTGTCATCATGGTGATGACACTCAGTGTGGCCGAGCTGCGCGCATCCCTTCCCACGACCCCAGAAGCAGGGCTACTCAGCACATCTGGCCAAGCCACATCCCCTGCCCGAGGCAGTGGGGGCCCGGCTGGACTCCCTCTGCAGACCTAGGCATCTAGGGGTGCCCCACCGTCTGCCCTCATCGCCGTGTTCAGGGGGTGCTGGAGACCGCCAGGTCCTGACCGGGGTGCTGCTGGCCAGGGCACCTCACTCTTTAAGCCCGTCTTGCAGATGTCCAGGGGGTCATCAGGATGGGGTGCCTGGGCAGCAGAACCCTTGCTCTGTGGATTCCATATCTCAGATACTTGTACAAACCAGGTACCAGGGGAGTCCACGCCCCCTCTGAGCCCTCATCCTGGGTTTGTGCCCGCGACTCTGGGCTGTGCCCGCACCCCCACTGTCTGCTAAACCTGTGTGAGTAGCCCTGGGGTGGCCTGGGGGCACTGGGGGTGGCTCTGTAGACCAGCCCCATGGGCCCAACAGCCTGCTCTGACCTGAGCCCACACGGCGGCCGGCCAGACAATCGGGGAGCGGAGTGGCCTCGACGCAAGGGTGGGGGCGGGGACCCAGACCCTGGAAGCCGCGAGGACTTAATCCGCCGATGAATTATTGAGCGGAGCCAGGCGGCTCGTTTCCGACCTGTCCGTCTGGGGACGGGACTTTGGCAGCGGTTCAAGCTGCGGTGGTCACTTCATTAATTAATCGTCTTCTCCTTCTGCGTTCATTGCACGGTCACCCGGTCCCCACACCGCTGGCCCTCGCCAGCTTTGGGGCACCTGCCAGGGCCCCGTGCCCTCACCCCTGTTTCAGGATACTTGATGGGGCCCCTGAGGGGAGGCATGAAGTGGGTGGGAAGTGGGGGAGTGTGGGCCTGGCTGCGCTCCAGGCTCTGGACCCCCGGGAGCAGACGGCTTCCCTGCCCACAGGACCGCGGGCAGAGCCGTCTGGCTGGGATCTGTCTGGACCGGCTTTTCCCGAAGGCCAGGATGCCTGCCCGCGCCCCTGGGGTGGGGACACAGGACGGAGGCTCGGCCTGCCCGGGCCTGGAACCACGCAGCACAGTCCACGCGATGGAGGCCGACCTGGGCTCGGGGTGCCAGTGGGCCCCACGAAGCCCTTCGCACACGCTGCGCAGCACCCCGCAGCGGCCCTCGGCGGGGTCTCCACGCCCCTCCACCGACAAGGAAGCCCACCCCGGCAGGTGAACGCGCAGCCCAGAGTGCGGGACGGGGGCTGACCCCACACCCCGAAGCCAGGCTCCTGCACCCAGGCTGCCACGTGCCCACGTGGGCCTGGACACACACAGGGCACCCGGAGGGCGGACGGGGTCCACCACACCAGGGCCGGGGGCAAGCAGGGCCCCGAGAAGTGACCCTGAGGGACGGTCAAAGCACAGACCAGACCAGGACGATGATGTGGGGGATGGTGGCAGGGTTGGGACAGAAAAGGGGCCCAGCTGGGAGCTCTCAGCCTTCGCCCCTCCCCTGCCCTAGCGGGAGCCCCGGCTGAGCTCGGCCCGTGGCCCCCGTCTCTGCACACACGGGGTCAGAGAAGAGAGGATGGAGGGTCTGCAGCACCCCAGAGAGCTGGACGGCGCGGCTGTGTTGACCGGGACCCCCCATACCGTGGCCCAGACGGATGAGACTGGAATGATAGTGTGCAAGCTAAGGCCGCCCCCCAGGGCTGCAGGCGCCTCCAAACCCCAGAGGAAATGTCCTTTGTCCGATATGGTCACAGGCAGGTGACCCCAAATGATGCCAGGATGGTGGGCAGTTTGGGGTGACCGTGGGCAGGGAAGGGAAAAGAGGCATTGACTCGGGGCAAAGAGCCCTGGATGGTGGGTGGGGACCCCTCCAGTCCCGGCTTTGCCAGGGTGAGCTCATCCACCCCTTGGCCTGTGTCCCTCCGTGTGCAGACCAAGGGAGTGACTGCCATACCCAAGGCTTGGCCACTCAGCCTCATCAACTGCAAGGAGCACATGAGGGGGACAAGGCCCATTTCTGAGGGTGAGGAAAGCAAGGACCAGAGAGGGTGTTCACACACCTCACAGCACAGAGCACACAGCACACAAACTCGGCCCGAGAGCCAGCCTGGCCTCCTGACCCGGCTGCCCTCTGTAAGCCTCTCCGTGTGGGAAGGGGGGTTATGAGCAACCAGACACCCTAGTACATGGGGCGGGGGGCGCCGGGACTCCAGACACAGAGAGTCATTGCCAAGTTCTCCAGCTGCACCAGCCTGGTGTCCCTGGGCCAGTCCTTACTGAGCACATGGGGAAACTGAGGCCCAGCGGGAGGAGACGGGAGGGCTGAGGGCCACGGGAAGTCAGGGCGTCAGGGCCCACGGACTGAGCCCTCCTGTCTCTCTGCAGCCCCACCTGCTGGCCCGGGGTCTCTCCTGGAGCTGGGCTCCCGGGGGGGAGGCTGGGGCCGCCAGCGTGTGTCCACTGCTGGAACTGGGGGAGGCCGGCCCCGTGCCCCGTCTCCTGGCTGTGGCCTGTCAGCCAGGGGACAGCTGGGTTCCAGGGCTGGGCAGCACTGAGCTCCCCACGTGAACAGAGTGGGTCTGAGGGCCGGAAACAGATGTGCCCTGCGGGAGGCCCCTGTGGAAACAGCCTGTGTCCCCGCAACGGGGAGAAGCTCAGGGCTCTGGGCACAGGGCCGCGGAGGACATCGGCGCTGGCCAGCCTCGCTTTGTGCCCTGGCCTGGGGCCTGCTGGCTGGAGTCACCAGTGCCTCTTCCTCAATCCCTCCTGACGCCCCAAGTCCCAGCCCTGGGAGTCTGGGCTGCCCTACGCTGGGCCGGTCGCACGCTGCCCCTCTCTGAGCCTCTTGGACGCCGGCTTCCTCCGTCCAGACCGAGCGGGGGTGGCTGGCTCGATCCCTTCGGCCCTGGGCTGGGGGCGGGCAGCCCTGCCTCTGGGCGAGTTCAGACAGTTTCTAGAGGACCAGGCTGCCGGGCCTCTGTGCCCAGGGCTCCCCCCAAGCTCCTCCCTGGTGAGCACCCACCATAGACCCGCAGCCTGCAGGCACCAAGCCCCGCCCATGTGTGCTTTGGGGGGCGGTGGCCCTGGGTGACTGACTGTCCCAGAGCCAGGGCCTCCCCGCTCCCCCGGAACTGGGAAGGAGCCTTCTCAGCCCTGAGCTCCCCGGGTGCCCGTGGAGAGGGCAGGGACCGAAGGACCCTCCTGTGGGCACCCCTCCGTTACCCTGGGCATCGCAGCCCAGTCACCCCAACACACACGTCCCTGGGGAAGAGCCCACGCTGAAAATGGGAACACTAGCCCTGGCCGGTGTGGCTCAGCGGTGAGAGAGTAGGCCCACGGACCAATGTGTCCCGGGTTCGATTCCGGCCAAGGGCGCGCACCTCGGTTGTGGTTCGTCCCCGGCCCTGGTCGGGGTCCTGTGGGAGGCAACCAGTCGACGTGGCTCTATCACACTGATGTTTCTCTCTGTCCCTCTCTCCCTCCCTCCCACTCTATCTGATGATAGATAGAAAAATATCCTCGGATAAGGATTTTAAAAAAAGCAAACACTAAGACCCTCGGCCCCGTCACCTGGCAGCCCCATCTTCAGGCAGGTTGGGGTCGTGTGGGTGAGGCCTGGACGCCTGTCCACCCCTTTCTCCCAGCACCCTCCCCACAGGGCATCTCTCCCAGCCTGGCCGGGCCCACCAGGAGTTCAGACCCCTTCATGCATCTTTTAGAACACTCTGACTGCCCCCAAATCCATCCCTCAGGATGGCAGGTGCCCTCCTCCTCCTGGCTCTCACTCACCCCCAGCCCCCAGGAGCCAGCTTCCCAGGCCAGGATGGGGCAGGAATGAGGGGCCGTAGTTGGTGGGGGGTCCAAGGCCTGAACCTGCTGCCCAGCCCTCAGGTCCCTGTGCCCCCACCGCACCCCCAGGGAGAGAATGTCCCCACTGTGATCCTCGAACACTGGCCATCACTCCAGTGACAGCTAGGTGGAGAAGGCCTGGGACCCTCCGCTGGTGACGAGGTGGGGGTGCTCACCTGGGTGGGGTTGCGGAGTCTCCAGAAGGCCACCTGCACCAGGGCACAGAAGACCAGTGCAAAGCACAGGAAGCCCTGGGGAGAGGGGGACAGTCACCCCATGGCCCTCGGGGGCGCGGAGCCCATCTGAACCCAGATCCCCATCGCCCAAGGCCGAGGCACAGGTCCCCCACTTCCTCCGGCCTGGTTAGGGGACCCTCCCGCCATCACTCACTTTGGCCCCCGAGGGTCTGTCAGTGGCAATGCCGACCCTGCACCCCAGGGAGGGAGTCCCCGGCATGACAGACCCCTGCCATCGGCCACTGCTTCCGGGGGGCTCTGACCTGGGAAGAGCCAGGCAGAGCCTTCCCTGGGCCTGGGCCTGGGATCTGAGACAATGTCCCCCTTCTGGGGGGTCCAGGCGCCCTGAGCAGGGACAGCTGGTCAGTGTCCTTCCAAAACCTCCACAGCTGGGCTCTCCGGACTACAGCCCTCAACCCGGGGAGCCCAGGTTCTGGCCAGGGGAGCTCAGGCCGGGGCACACCCAGACGGTGTGACCGCTGCAGAGACGCCGGGGGCCGTCCACCCCCGCCCTGCTGGGCGCTCCGCTCTGGAGCAGGGTTCTGGACCCTCCCCTGAAGAGTGCACTCCTGCCCTGCGCTTTTTGTGGATCCCATCAGAGGGTCGCCCCAGTCTCAGCCCCCCCCCCCCCCCCCGTGGGCTGCCCTGCTTCTGCAAGGCCACTGAGCACCGCACAGCGGGGTCCGCAGGTTCCAAGGCCTTGGCCACCGGGCGGCGCGACCCTCCCCGACCCTCAGCCAGGGCACCCTGAGTGTGGCTAGCTAGCTCCCCCTTCTGGGACTGCCCACAGGCTGGGGCAGGCTGCCACCTTGCTCAGGGTGACACCCAGGAGGATGAGCCAGAGGCTGGAAAGACGCCTGCAGATGTGGATAGACACACAGACACTGGCCAGGCCAGGCAGGGACAAAGAAAAGTGTGTGTGTGTGTGTGTGTGTGTGTGGTGGGAGGCTCTGAGCGAGGGGACCCCCACCAGTCCCCAAGTGCGGGTGTGTGCACAGGACCCACTAGGCTCTGACATAGCCCTCCAGCTCCTGTCCTCTGCTGGGAGCCTGCAGGCCTGTCTCAGCGTGGCCTTGAGGGTGCTTCCTCCTTCCTGTCCCTGCTGGCCTTCTCTCTCCCTCCTCCCCTCCTCCCCCTCTCCCCTCTTCTCTCCTTTTCCTCCCTCTGCTCCTCCTCCCAGGCTGGCTGAGGGCCACCTTCCCCATCTGGAAGCCATCGCTCAGGGCTGCCTCCCAGGCGGGGCCCTGAGCCAGCAGGGGGGCAGCGTCCTCCAGAAACTGTTCCGTTCCTCGGAGGGCCTGGGCGCCCAGCTCCCAGCCCCTGCTGGCCTGGCACCCTGTGGAAGGCGCGGGGCAGAGGAGGGGCCGCCTGGTCCCCAAGCCCCCGCGGGCTCAGGCTGCAGGCGTGGCCAGGCCCAACCCCGGCCATTTTCCTTCTCTTCATTCTAAACAAAAACAGCTAAATAAAGGGAAATGGCTCCTTCGCCCGCACCCAGCCAGCGGCTCGTTCATTTCCTGTTCTAGAGGCCAGTTTGGGGAGCAGCCAGAGGGGGTGGGGGCAGGAAGTGAGGAGGCCTGGTGCCTGTCACACGGGGGAAGATCTCCCGCTCCCCAGTTCCTTCATGTGTGCTCACACACGCGTGCACATGCACACACGCACGTGCACATGCCAGATGCACGCGTGCACATGCCAGATTCAAACGCGGAGCTCCGTGAGCAGGTATCTGAGAGCCAGGGGTCGAGCACTCGTGGGGCCAGGGGCTGGGATACACCCCCAGAACAGCCCTGCTGGCTGTCCCCAGTGCTCCCTGAACCCCAGGCTGCAGGTCAGGGCACCGGGCTGGGCAGGGGCTAGGGAGCTGGGGGCGGCCCTGGTGCCTGGCTGGGCCAAGAACAAGCCTGACCTCGCGAGACGCAGGGAAGGGGCGACTTTCTTCGCTGCCTCAAACCAGCACCATATCGCCCCCTGGTGTCCGGCCTGCAGCCCTGCTGCTGGCCTCTGCAGGCCCACCTCACTGGCCTGGCACCTCCGCCGGGCCCTGCGGCCCTGGCCCAGTGTGCGCCCCTCGGGCAACCCCGCACCCGAGGGCTCCCCTCTGCGGGACAGCCTCCCGCTCGGCCATGGCACGCGTAAACTACGTACTGCGATTCTGGGCACATCAAAAATTATTATTATTTTTTTCCTATCTGACAAAAAGTAGGGATACTTTTGACTTGTTCACATGGGACGACTATTGTGTTGCTGTTGCTGTGTTGGCTGTTGTCATTTTTCATGTGACAACTTAAGGGAAAGAGGTCAGTGCCCCTGACTAAATAGTCAGGTGTGGCACGTTTGTAAATATGCCCGGCGGTGGGGCTCAGTGGCTGAGCGTCGACCCTGCACCAAGAGGTCCCGGTTCGATTCCCGGTCAGGGCACAGGCCCAGGTTGTGGGCCCGATCCCCAGTGGGGGGCGTGCAGGAGGCGGCCAGTCGATGTTCTCTCTCATCGATGTTTCTAACTCTCTCCCTCTCCCTTCCTCTCTCTCTACAATCAGTAAACAAAAAAGACTTTTTAAAATCTTTTTGGTGCACCTGCCCCTCAGCCGCAGGGACACACACCGGCTGCCCGGTCCTGCGAGTGGGGTCCAGGAGGTGACGCTGTCCCTGCCCTGGAAGAGGGTTACACCAGGAGTCACTCAACAAACATTTGATGACCTGGGCTGGGCCAGGAACCCTGACAGCCCTGGGGGTCGGAGGCCACCCGGGAAGCACAGCCCCACCCCCGCACTAGCTCCCGGGCTGGAGGCCGGAGAGAGAGAGGGAGGCTGGCTGCAGACCCCCGGCGGTAGCTGGGGTGCGGGGAGAGCCGGAGCGATAGCTGGGGTGCGGGGAGAGCCGGAGCGGCGCCCGGTTCAGGTGGGACAGGAGGGCTTGAGCCCCCTGGCTGGCTGGAGGGCTGCCAGGTAGAGCAGGACAGGCCTGTGGGGACCAGGTGGGTCCATGTGGAGGAGCAGGTTTGGGGACCACACAGGCCGCTGCTGACCAGGGGTGGGGGCTTCGGGAGCCGGGCGGCCCCTCCCGTAGCTGTGAAGGGCGGTGAGGAGCTCGGGAGCACGGGCTGCGGTCCACCTGGGGCAACTGCGGGGCCCCAGGCCTTCTCCGGCCTCCCTGCCCTTTTGTATCCGGAAACCAGATTCACCTGGAACCCCAGGGCCTCCGGGTAACAGAGCCAGACCCTCCCTGGGCCTTTGGAAAGGCTCCCAGGCCTGGACGGCCAGCCTGCCTCTCCGGGCCCCCCAGATGGTGCGGTGACGTGGGGCCAGAGGGAGGGGTGTGGTGGGCCCAGGTGGGGGAACCCTGACTGTTTAGGGGGACAGGCAGGGGTCTAGGGGGAGTGTCTGTCAGGGTTCTGTGGGCGTGCAGTCCTGACACTGACTGCAGTTGGGGGGCTGAGGCATGGAGGACTCACCCCGGCCATGAGGCCCCCCGCCTCCCGCACGGTGGCTGCGGCGCTCAGCACCGCCCCCAGGGTGAGGAGCCCCGCCAGGCTGATCTCTGTGAAGAAGGCTGGGTGGGCAGAGAGAGGAAGGTTAGCCGTGCCCCGGCCAGGGAGCCCAGTGCACAGACCCTGGGTGAGAAATCCACCCAAAGTGGGGGTGTGTGCTGGACTTTGGGGAGCTGTGTCTCCCCACCAGCAGGGACATGCTCCCACCACACCTCCCCTCCTCCCCAACTCAGGACTCTAGGGAAGGAGGAGGACCTGCCCCCACCCCTGCGCTCTGCCCCAGGCTGGAGCCCTCTCTGAAGCCAGGTCCTGCCCCGCCCCCACCCAGCAACAGGTCGCAGTGGGCTGTAATCTTATCAGCCTGAACCCAGGCTGCCTGCAGGGAGGCTGGGGTTCAGGGTTGAGGCTCTAGAGCAGGGCCTAGGGGGCACAAGGCCTGGGGTTGGGACTGTACCCAACCCAGCGGGCCTTGGTTCCCCCTCACCCACCCCCTTGGCGCTTTCACTCAAGGTCAAGGCCCTGGATGGACTGTGGTCCCAGCGAGCTGCTCAGGGCCTCTCCTGGGGCCCAGCCGCGCTCTGCGGGAACACCCACTCCTGGACCGAGGCCACCCGACATGCTGTCCTTGTTCTCAGGGAGGCGCTGCGGACCAGGCTCTGTGCAGTGGGACCCCAGGGCGGGCCCTCTACCCCGACCCCGCTGCCTGGCCCCGTCCGGCTCCAGTGGGGCCTCACCCGCAGCTGCCTTGGCATCTGAGCCCCGACAGCGGCCACCCAGGGCCTCACTTACCCCAGTGGTGCATGGCCTTGAAGGGGGACCCCTCTGGGGACACACGGCTGATGACGGCGAAGTGGGCTCCGAAGTAGGTAAGAGCCGCCAAGGTGGCCACCAAGAGGCCCAGCAGCTGGGGACAGACCCAGAGCGTGGTCGGGGCTGCACGCGCCAGCCCCAGAGGGTCCCGGCCTCCCTCCAGCTTCCTGGTCTCGCAGCAGACAGGCTCCGCTGCCAGGTGTTTCCGTGGGGTGGTCTCAGGGGGACCTTTGCCCCAGACACCCCTGACACCACAGACACCCCAGCACACACTCACTTGCAGACACACTCCCTGATCTACACAGAAACCACACCACACACATTCACACACACAGACACCCCAGCACGCACACTCACCACCCCCAAAGACACATCCATTGTCAGCTTTCTCCAAGGACCAGGGCCCTCGGATCCTTCTGTCTGTAGAGCGGGGAGTGGGCGCACCCCAGGCCCAGCGCCCTGCAAGCCCCCGGGCATCAGTCCCTTCCATGCAGCTCACCAGCCACCCCCAGGCCTCCAGGCCTCTTGCTGTCTGGTGGGAGGCAGACACTCCCCACGGGGCAGCCGCCCAAATGGTCACTCCAGGGCGACCACCAGCGGAGACCCCAGGTGCATGTCAGTGGGGCAGGGGGGGGACAGCAGGGCTGGTGTATGTGGGGAACCACTGTGCTGAAGGTCCAGGAACATGGCCGCCACCCCTCTGCCCTGAGGCCCCCATCCACCCCTTCCCACCCAACCTGCCTGTTACCAGAACAAAGAAGCTGGTGACCAGCATCTGGCATTTGGCCATCCTGACTCGACTCCAAGGGCCCATGGTGGTCTCCTCTCCTGTCCTCTCCGGTCCTCTCCTCTCCTCCCCTGCCCTCCCCTGCCCTCCCCACCCCTCCCTTCCCTTCCCAGTGTGGTTTCAGCTGGGTGGGGGCCTCAGCCCACAGCTGCCTGCCCAGGAGGTAGATTGTGTCCGCCCATCTGTCTGTCAACACACCCTGAGAACTGAGCGCTGGGTGCTCAGGAAGAAAGACAGGCAGGAAGGGGAGGGGCGGCCAGGCCAGCCTCTGCCACCCCTGCTGCCCAGCCCTGGCCCAAGATACCAGGACCTTTACAGATAGGAGGCCGGTCCCAGCAGGGCACGGCCTTGCTCCTGGTGTGGCCGCAGGACGCCTGGGGAGGAGGTGGGAGAGTGGGAGAGGCCCTGGCGAGGGGTGAGCTCCCTGTCTCGGGGGTGTGCAAGCAGAGGCCTTAGACCTGAGAGGCATTAGGGAGGCAGAGTCGCATGGGGATGCCCTATTTTTGGAAAAGATCATTTGATTCTCACCTCGGAGGCACAGTGAGGAGATTGGAGCAGAGCCACCTTGAGGGCGGGGAGGGGGCTCACGTGCACCCATGTTGGGCCTCCGATGAAACCGGGGAAGGGGCAGGGCTGCCAACTCAGAGGCATGTGGGTGGTGCTGAGTGGGCCACTGGGGGCCAGCGGGGGCAGAGGGAACGCACGATGAACCCGCTGGGTCCGGTCCCGGCCGGTTTGCACCTTGGGGGCCACAGCTTGTGGGTGCGGCCACCTGTACACACTCGCCTCTCAGGCTGGAGTTGCCCTTCCTGCAGATGGAAATGTGGGGTGTTCCTGGACCCCCTGGTCTGCAGGGACACCAGGGGATCCCCCATGTCGTGGGTCTGTGGCATAGCTCCAGGTAGAGCCAGATGTGGCCCAGGCTGGGGTGCAGGTGTGACCCGAGGGCGCATCAGGGCATGGGCTGTGGGCCTGGGCAGCCCCACCCCCTCCTGGAGACGAGCCCTCACCGTGTCTGCCTCACTTCCCGACCTCGGGAGGGAAGCCGAGTGGGCGCATCTGCGCTGAGTTCAGAGAAACGTCTGGAGTGGGAGCCAGGCCTGGAGCTGGACCTGCCCCTGCGGGGCTCCTACTGTGCTCAGGCACCTTGCAAAGATGACCGCACGGTGTCCTCCCAAAGGCACACCAAGCCCTCTGTGGGCAGATGAGGCCCCCGGTGACCGGCCACGTGGGGACTGACCAGGCCTCCGGCCGCAGCCCCTTCCCCATTGCCCACTGGCTGCAGCAGGGAGCCTGGCAGATTTCAGGTACAGCCCCCCGCTGAGCCTCTCCCTCCCTCTCAACACACCCTCCCTCTGCAAGAGAAAGTGGCATCTGAGGGAGCCGTTGGCCCTGCCCAGCCTTGGCCACTCACCCCTGTCTTCTGGACACCGGGCGTGGCCACCCACTCCCGAGAGCAGGCTGTGGGGGCCAGGAGGGACCCTAAAGCAGCAGCTACAGCCCCAAGGAGCTGGCCCAGGGGGACAGACTCCCCCGCCCCCGCGGACCTCATCCTGAGGGTCAGATCTCAACACAAACAGCCCGAGGTTGCCCCCTGTCTTCATTTCCAAGGGGGTGCAGGGCTTAATGTGTGCACATGGGTGTGTGCATGTGTGTGTGCACGTGCCTGCGTGTCTGTGTGCATGTGTGTTCATGTGTTCACATGCCTGTGTGTGCATGTGTGTGCCCGTGCCTGTGTGAGTGTCTGTGTGCATGTGTGTTCATGTGTTCACATGCCTGTGTGAGTGTCTTTGTGCATGTGTGTGTACGTGCCAGTGTGAGTGTGTGTGTGCATGTGTGTTCATGTGTTCACATGCCTGTGTGAGTGTGTGCATGTGTGTGCCCGTGCCTGTGTGAGTGTCTGTGTGCATGCGTGTTCATGTGTTCACATGCCTGTGTGAGTGTCTTTGTGCATGTGTGTGTACGTGCCAGTGTGAGTGTTGTGCATGTGTGTTCATGTGTTCACATGCCTGTGTGAGTGTGTGCATGTGTGTGCCCGTGCCTGTGTGAGTGTCTGTGTGCATGCGTGTTCATGTGTTCACATGCCTGTGTGAGTGTCTTTGTGCATGTGTGTGTACGTGCCAGTGTGAGTGTGTGTGCATGTGTGTTCATGTGTTCACATGCCTGTGTGAGTGTGTGCATGTGTGTGCCCGTGCCTGTGTGAGTGTCTGTGTGCATGCGTGTTCATGTGTTCACATGCCTGTGTGAGTGTCTTTGTGCGTGTGTGTGTACGTGCCTGTGTGCGTGTATGTGTGTTCATGTGTTCACATGCCTGTGTGAGAGTCGGTGTGCACATGTGTGCACATGCCCATGCGAGTGTGTGTCTGTGTGTGCGTGTGGGTGCACCTGTGAGTGTGCATCTGTGTGGTCATGTGTGTATGCATGTGTGTGCACATCTGCGTGTGTGTAATATGTTATTTGCTGTCCAGGGCTCTCCTTGTCCTCCCTCTTTTTCCCCCTCAGCCAATAATTAATTGGTTAATGGAAAACTGTTTGTCACACGAGCCAAATGGAAGAGCTCCCAGTGGCCCAAACTGGGACAATTTGAGCAAGAAAATCGATAGTGTCGTGTTGGACGACAACCCACTGTATTGCACAAGTGGCCCTGAGCCCATCCTGTGTGAGTCGGTGAAGGATGAGGCACATGAACGGGGAGGGAAGACAAACTGCCTGTGCGGGAGAATCCCCATGCTGAGTGTGGACACCCCACCAGGGAGGGGAGCTTCGCTGCACCCCTGAGGGGCTGTGCACAGTGACTTCCTCCCCTTCTGGAGGGCGCAGGATAGACGAGGGAAACCTGTCCACGTGCCGCAGCCCGCGATCGGGGCCAGCCTCCGGGATGGGTCATGTGGACGGCGTGTGCCCAGATCTGACCAGATGAGTAGAGTACCCCTGGGTTCTCCCCAAGCCCACAACCCGTCTAATCATGACACGAACCCCAGCAGAGTGCGTCCAGTCTCCTCAAAACTGTCCCAGTCAACAAAACAGTCGGCGTCTGAGAAACCGTCCCAGCCCAGGAGCCTAAGGGGACGTGAGGACTCAGTGACGTGGGGTCCTGGGGGTCCTGGGACGGGGTCCTGGGGAAAACTAAGGAAGCTGAGCAAAGCCCGGCCACGGTGAACAGTAGCGGCTCACTCCAACTGCCGGTGCGGACCTGGGCATGGACCCCCTGTACTACCTGTGCAACTTTCCTGTTACCCTAAAACTGTCCTAGGTACATCTTACTTAAAACCCCGAAATCATCCATCACCCCGGTCTCACAGCACAGAGGGGAACAGCGGCTCTGACTGTCCACTCACTGGGCGTGAACTCTTGGCTCTGAGCTTGCCTGCCCTCCACTCCACTAACTGCTCATCCACTGAGACGTCGCTCATCAGCAATGTCACCTGCCCACCAGCCTACTGGCCCACCTGCCCACCTGCCCACTGGCTCTCTGGCCCACCTGCCCACCAGCCTACTGGCCCACCTGGCCACCTGCCCACCTGTCCACCTGCCCACCTGTCCACCGGCCCACCGGCCCACCTGGCCACCGGCCCACCTGGCCACCTGCCCACCTGTCCACCGGCCCACCTGGCTACCGGCCCACCTGCCCACCTGCCCACCAGCTCACCTACCCACCTGCCCACCTGCCCACCTGCCCACCAGCTCACCTGCCTACCTGCCCACCTGCCCACCTGCTCACCTGCCCACCAGCTCACCTGCTCACCTGCCCACCAGCTCACCTGCCCACCAGCTCACCTGCCCACCTGCTCACCTGCCCATCAGCTCACCTGCCCACCTGCTCACCTGCCCACCAGCTCACCTGCCCACCTGCTCACCTGCCCATCAGCTCACCTGCCCACCTGCTCACCTGCCCATCAGCTCACCTGCCCACCTGCCCACCTGCCCACCAGCTCACCTGCCCACCTGCTCACCTGCCCACCAGGTCACCTGACCACCTGCTCACCTGCCCACCAGCTCACCTGCCCACCTGCTCACCTGCCCATCAGCTCACCTGCCCACCTGCTCACCTGCCCACCTGCTCACCTGCCCACCAGCTCACCTGCCCACAAGCTCACCTGCCCACCTGCCCACCCATTTCCTCACCCCCACTCGCGTCCACGCAGCAGTGTACTCGCTCAGCTCTCCACTTGTTCGCTTGCTCCCGCCCTCTGCCTGCTGCCGAGGTCACTTGGGCAGTTAGTTGCCTGGGAACCCTGGTGGGGGGTTGGCACTGAAGCAGGCCCTTCCCACTGTGAGGTTACTTCCCTGGGCCAGGAGGTGGCAGCCCCTAACCTCCTAATCTCGCCCAAAGGGAGGCTTGAGAGAGGTTACCCCTCCTTCCCCATCAGAGATAAGCTGAGGCCTGGGGCCCCTGCTCCTACCCTGAGGGCCTGGCAAGGCGTGGCCCCTCCTGCTCAGGAAGGCCACAGGCCATCACGGTGGTGTCCTGGGCTCTGTGAGCCCATCACCGTCCTGGGCCCCTGTCTGGGGACCTCTGCTGTGCCTCCCTCCCTCCCCGGAGCCCGGGCCACCACAGATCTCTACTGCCCACCATTCGCCAAGACCCTTCAGGAACGAAGGCCTGTGTCGCCCCCCAGGCAAGGAGCCACGGGCCGGTGCTCCCTGGGATGGAGGCAGCGTGCGGACACTACCTCCGTGGCCAGGGGCAGCAACGGGGCGATATTGTCAGTTTGCTCCTCGTTTCGTTGTGGAGATGTTGATCTGACCACAGTCGCTGATCTTCTCCTCTCTTATTCCTGCCGCTCATGGTAAGTGTGTTCCTGGTGGTCCACCCGGGGCTGGGCCTCAGCCAGAAGGGACCCCACGGCCACGGGGAACGTGCCTTCCTCGGGCTTAGCTGCCGCTCACGGGCGGAGCTGGACTTTGTCTGTTTAGAAGTTAGGCACAGCCCTGGCTCAGCGGTTAGAGCATCAGCCTGCGGTCCGGAGAGACCCGGGTTCGGTTCCCACTAAGGGCACGTACTTCCGTTGCAGTTTGTCCCCGGCCCTGGTTGGTCGTGCGGGTGGCAGCCACTCGATGTGTCCCTTCACGTCGATGTTTCTCTCTCTCTCT